GGATAAAAGACTTAACTGTAAGTCATGAAACCATAAAAATCCTAGAAGAAACCATAGGCAACAAAATCTCAGACATCTTTTGTAGCAATATTATTTCAAAATAATACCACCCTGGAATACTATGCAGCTATAAAAAAGAAGAGTCTCTTAACCCTTGAGACAGCATGGAGGGACCTGGAGAGTATTATGCTAAGCAAAATAAGTCAGTCAGAGAAAGACAAGTATCACATGAACTCACTCGTATGTGGAATCTAATGAACAAAATAGATCCAGAGACATAGAAGCATGGAACAGACTGATGAGTCTCAGAGGGAAGGTGGGTGGGGGAGTGGGGAGATAAACCAAAGAACTGATATGCATATTACCACCCATGGACATAGACAAGAGTGTGTTGAAGTTCTGGGGGTGGGAAATGTGGAGGGGGTCAATGGTGAAATAAAAGGGGACATCTGTAATACTTCCAACAACAAAGATAATTTTTTTTAAAAAAGACATGGAAAGACTGACAAGCTGTCACAGATTAGAGGAATCTAAATGCAACTAAAAATCTAATATCCTAATAAACTCTGTAGTTTAGGCAATAGTATTTATACCAATATTAATTTCTTAAGTGTGATAACATTACAGGAAGCTGGGAAAGGGTATACAGAAACTCTCTGTACTGTCTTTGTTATTATGCTCTAAGTCTGAAATTATCTCATCGAGGAGCAGAGCAGACCATCGAGGAGCGGAGCAGAGCTGTCCAACCGGAGAGGCCTGGCCCCAGGGCCATTCTATGGCTGTGCTGTTTTCACAGCTATGCTGTTTCAAAATTGAGCTGTTTTGTACTGAATAAAGTTTCCTTCTTTGCCACACACCCCCCAAAATAAAAATAATCAAATAAATAAAATTATTTCAAAATAAAAACTTTTTAAAAAGGCAATAGTTATCAACTAGAATGTACGAACAATGGAGCACTACTCAGAATAACTTCCAGTACATGTACTAACATGGTTGAATCTTCCACCAAGGGAAAGAAGCCACATGCACACACGCAGAACTATGTATGAGGTTCTAGGAAAGGCAGACACTGTGTTGGCAAGCAGACAGGTGGTTTACCAGGGACCAGAAAGGTGGGGCAGAGGATCGGCTACAAAAGAGTAAAAGGAAACTTTTTTGGGGGGTGATGCAATCTATACTTTTGCCACACTGGTGGCTATACAACTGTATGTATTTGTCAAAACTCAGATTAGCCCTGGCCAGTTTGGCTCAGTGGATGGAGCGTCGGCCTACAGAATGAAGGGTCCCGGGTTAATTCCAGTCCAAGGGCATGTACCTTGGTTGCAGGCACATCCCCAGTGGGAGGTGTGCAGGGGGCAGCTGGTCGATGATTCTCTCTCATCGATGTTTCTGACTTTCTGTCCCTCTCCCTTCCTCTCTGTAAAAAATCAATAAAATATATTTTAAAAAAACTCAGATTACACAAAGTTGCTGAATTTTAATGAACTTAAGTTATACTTTAATAGAGCTAACTTTAAAAATAATTTTTTTTTTAGAAAACTAGTATAATATGCAACCTTTTCTGTAAAGAAGGTGGAAAGGGGGAACATACACACATACATTGATTATCTTCAAAAGTAAACACTAAAAGAATAAATCAAAAAGTGAATAAAAATGATTACCCATAAAGGACTAATAGCAGAGAAGATATATGGATGGCAGTGAGACATATTTGAATATAATTGGTTATATTTTTCACTTTGAAATCATGTATGTTTTACATATTCAAAGTTAAATCAAAAAGAACAAAACTAGTGTCCCTTATACGTCCTACTGCTTGTGTGGTAATGGAACACTAATGTTCCCTATGTCCCATTTCATTAAAATGAACCCAGACTATAAACTTGACCTGGCCAAATCATTTTTCTTCAACAGTAATAAAGTTCCCCTGCTATATTTATGTTTTTCTTCAACATATCTGAAAGCTACCATCTGTGGCTAATAAGAACAAAACACTATCACAGATTGTTTTAATTTCCTGCCTGTTATCAGCAACAAGAAGGTAACCCTGGAAACAAGGATTTATGGTATTTTATTTCCTACTGTAGGTTATAACCAATAAAGGAAACCAAAGTAGCCTCCAAGAGTTAAAGGTTTGTCTATACCAATGCCACACACGTGCGCGCGCGTGCACACACACACACACACAGCATAGAAGTACATATACCTTTCTTGTATTATTAATAACAGCAAATAACCCTGCTGGGCAGCTGTCTCTCAAGCATTTAGTCCCTTTCTGAAAGTTCAGGCCCACAGTAGGACCCCAGTACCTATTTAAGCTTCCTTGAAGCATAGGTGCTCAGACTCCCCAGTGGGCTTGTTAAAACACAAATCACTGGACTCCACCCACAGAGCATCTGGGCCCGAGAATCTGCATTTATAACAAGTTCTCAGAAGATACTGATGCTCCTGATCTGGGAAACACACTTCGAGAGACCCTGTTTTGACATATTTCATGGGTTGTGCCGTTACGCAGAATCTTCACACCTTCAAAATGCTCCTACTCAAACAAAACAGGTTTCTGCTGGGGAGAGAGGGAAGGTAAGCAGAAACTCCTGGGATATTCCCCTCAAAAGGAAAATTGTATCTAATGGAGTTGCTTTTGAATGAGTGGCAACAGGAATTAGCTCTACCTGGGTGTGTGGTGATCAGCACCAAAAAGTAGAGAAGGGAGCCAGAATGTCACACCTATGCTTCTCCCTGGCGGGGAGGGGGAGCAGTGCTAAAAGACACTGGAGGAAGACTGGGAACATTGAACGGGCAACCAGGTCTGCCTGCTGGTTTTAGAACTGAGAGAGAACAAGACAGAAAGCAAGACCCAAAAAGCCTCTTTGATCTTGGCTGGAATTAAATCAACTCAAGATGCTAATAAAGCCGTAGCCGGTTTGGCTCAGTGGATAGAGCGTCGGCCTGCGGACTGAAAGGGGCCTTGGTTGCGGGCCCATCCCCAGTGGGGGCTGTGCAGGAGGCAGCTGATCGATGTTTCTCTCTCATCGATGTTTCTAGCTCTCTATCCCTCTCCTTTCCTCTCTGTAAAAAATCAATAAAAAATATATTTAAAAAAAAAGATGCTAATAAAGATGAGCCCACCCTGATTTATTGGAGAAAGGTCTGAATCCCGAGCCCAAAACCTCGCAACATTAGAGAAGCATCTACCAGCAAGCAGATCTTAATGCTAAGTCCTCCCAACTGTGAAAGTCAGCATTGTAACTTAAGGCTTTTGGAGTTTCCACAGTGCCCTGTATGCCATGTACAGAGCCAGAGTTAAACATAGATCCCCTATTTTACCCAATTAATGTGTCAGTCTTTACCCTGTGATTACTTCCTTAAAATAGATTTAAAGAAGGGACTCCAAAGAAACTCATGTGGCCAAGGGAACATAAGAATTCTTATTGCAGTATTATTGATAATAGCAAATATTAGGTCTTTAAATGTGCATCGGAAAAAAATGATTACACAGTTTGGGTAGAGTCAAACAATAAAATATGAACCAGCAGTGAATGCGAGTAATCTGAGCTGCATTTATAATTTCTGGAAGCAATGTCCAACGCAAAGAGCAAGTATCAGAAGCAGTCACAGATGTTTAAGTTATGATCTATTTAAATGAAGTAGAAACAATACTACATGTTGTTGGTGGGCATACACATAAAATAAAAATATTAGCCCTGACCGGTTTGGCTCAGTGGATAGAGCGTCGGCCTGCGGACTGAAGGGTCCCAGGTTCGATTCCGGTCAAGGGCATGTACCTGGGTTAAAAAAATAAAATAAAAATATTAAAATAGGCATGAGAGCTAGAGACCAATTTCAAGATAGTGGTTAACTATGCAGAGGGAGGGTAATAGGATCTGTATTTTTAAAAGCAATTATTAATATTTGCTAAAACTAAATGAATGTTGATTAAACTAGTTCTTTATACTTTTGCTTGTATATTTGAGACATTTCATTAATAAGAAAAGCTTTAATTGAAGTGTTCATACACAAGCTGGTGTTTTGGAGGGTTTTTTTCTGGGGGGAAAAAATAGCAAGAAACCTGGATTACCTT